TCTTCCTCTTTCCTCTTTTCTCCTGCCTTTTTGTTCCAAGGGAAAATTCCTCCTGTGCTGATCCTGGTCTCAGAGATGTGGCAGCTGAGGCTGTATGCCTCTCCTTTCTATGCTATCATCCTGGGTTTTTGTGCTCCACAGTGATCTCACCAGTCTCCTGTTGCACTCCCACACTCTTCCATTGATGCTCCTTCATGAGTTTAAATGGATAGTTTGAGAAAAAAAGAATTCCCCTACTTCATAGACAGATCCTGGGGGGGTCCCATATAGTTGATCTCTATTCATAAATGTTGTCTACTTTGGGTCCAGCAATGTACTGGTTTGTCGTAAAGGATATTACAAAGGATACAGATTAAGAGATGCATAGAGTGAGGTATGGGGGAGGGGGTGCACCATTCTCGAGGAACCTCCACATGTTTAGCTATCCAGAAGCTCTATAGGTCTACTTTGGAAAATACAGTCTGCTACAGATGTGTTGTAAAAATTATTTTATAGCTTTTTTTTCTTTACTTGTGTCTGGTAATGACATATGTTTATTTTGCCCATTTACACTTTGCTACATCCAATAGAAAGTTATCAGGAGGGACTGTTTTAATAGCCATCAGCCAAGTTTATGTGTTAACCTTTTTTGATGATTGAGTACAGTATTTTAAAATTACTATTAGTGTATATAGCTGCAAAGGGAAGTTGGAATAGGAGGTACATTCATTGAAATGTACTGTTTAATAAGCAAAATTAGGAGACTATTTATTGAGTGCCTACTGTTAAAAAGAAAAACCTTAGACAAATTAAATTTAACAGGGGTTAACTGAGCAAAGATCAATTTGTGAATTGGACAGCCCTCAGAACCAGAACAGGTTTGGGGAACTCTGGTCTGCAACATGGTCAGATAGCATTTATACATGGAAAATGTAAGTGAGGTGCAGAGACAGCTTCAGCGTTTGCCTTATCTGAACATGGGCTTAATTGAAGCTTGGCTGCTATGATTGGCTGAGATTCAGCTATTTGTTACAAAAGTGTGTTACTAAATCGGGCTTTGTTAGTTTATGTACTAAGTTAGGTTGTAGTTTATTATGTAAGGACTTAAGTACAGAGGCATCCTTAGGCTAAATTTGTTTTAACACTACTGTGCACATAACTTTGTTTTTAAGTCATCAAGAAGATTGATGAAAAGTAAAGAATGGTATCTCTTTGACCTGAAATATAGACATTATGAATTGTGTATTGTGACCCTACACATTTTTTTTAGAAATTTGACTTTTGACACTTAAAGTTCTATTGGGCTTTTGACACACAGTCATAACACAGGCACATACTCATAGTTCCTCTTTAGCTATGAAATTCCGCTTCCTCATAGGGGAATTTTGTGCCCAAGAAATGGTACTCAGTTTCATAGTGTGATTCAGGAAATAATTAACCGTAGCTATGGTCTTTTCTTTCCCATGATTTTGGATCTAAAATTAGAATCTTTAGAAGTAGTCTGTTTTGGGGAGAAGTTAAGAGCATCATTATAAGTTCTAATAAAATATAAAGTGATGTAATAACTATGACTGTTCTTATGGGAGAGTGTATTAGTTCATTTTTTGTCACTCAGAATACCTGAAACTGGGTAATTTATAAAGAAATGAAATTTATTTCTTAGTTTTGGAGGCCAGGAAGTCCAAAGTTTAGGGGGCACATCTAGTGAGGACCTTCTTGGTGGGACATCGCTACAGAGTCCCATGGCAACATAGACAATCACATGGCAAAAATGGCTAGAGCACTTTCATGTGTTCTCCTTATAAAGCCACCAGTCCACACCAATGACAACCCATTAATGGATTAGTTCATTCATGAGGGAAGGCCCTCACAATCCAGTGACTTCCTAAAGGCCTCACCTTTCAACACCACCAAATTGGGGATCAGTCTTCCCCATCAGCTTTGGAGGAGACAAACATTCATCCCATATCAGAGAGACTATTCAAATATTGTAGTAGTATCTAAAGTTTTTTCTAAGCTTTTAAAAAAAACGAGATATAATTAATGTACTATAAAATTCACCGCTTTAAAATGTACAATTTAGTGGCATTTACTGTATTTACAAGGTTGTGCAACCATTACTGCTAGTCAGTCCAGAGCATTTTCATCACCCCAAAAAGAAACCCTGTACTCATTGCAGCCATTTCCCATTCGACTCTGCAGCCCCTGGAAACTACTAATCTACTTTATCTCTGGATTTGCCTATTCTGGACATTTTCTATAAATGGAATCATACAATGTGTGGCCTTTTGTGTGTGATTACTAAGCCTTTATGATGAAGATTTTAGCATTTTCAATGTATGTTCACGTCTCAAAATAAATGTATAACACCTCTATGAGGTAGATAGGAACTTTGTGACATAGTTACATTGTGAGATTTATTATGTCTTTATGATCTCAACTTACCATAGGATGAGGGAAAGAGGTTGAGAGGTGGTAAGGTGGAAGTTTGGAAAAGTAGAGTTAAAGGAAAAATAGGACTTGATGATATGTGAAAAAATAATTCAGTCCTGTGGGATTTCTAGAACCATGAATATTAAACCTTATTAAATTGCAACTGTGCAGTTAAATATTCCAGCTATTTTTAAGAATTTAAAACTTGAAGATGGGTTTTGAGTCTTTGTAGTTATAAGCTGAACCCCATTTTAGCAGAGTTGAAAGGAGTCAGAATTGTGCTCTTGGTTACTCCACACTCTTTAAATGGAAGCCTGTTGCTACAGTGTGCAGAAGGGATATGATAAATTTACTTGTTTTAATAAATTAAAGCAAATAATGATATCTTTTGCCCTTGCAGCAATTCAGTTGAGTAGGGGACTATTATATAATGGAAATGTAAAGCCTTAATTCTTAAAAGTTGTAAGTATATTTGAAATTAATTGTTGATATTGGGAAAGAGTACCATTTTCTATAAATTTTACACATTAGGTTTTCTGTTTTAAAATATGTGCTTTTGGGATGCAAACTAGTGCCATTTTCACAATTGAATTTGTAGTTTTTTCTTTAAAGATCAGATCACTAGGATAATAAATCACACAGTAGGTTACTTTGTTGCCTACCATGGTTTCTTCTGTTTCCTGGCATAAAGAAAGTTTTGGCTAAAGTATTCTTTGATTCTTATCTGGCCTTTTGCCCTGATGAGCTGTGCTGACGTATGAGTTGGCATGAAGGGCTTCTTTTACCTGGAGGTAAACATAAATGAGCTTTTCCATGCTTCTTGCCCTTGGGTGCCATGTTTCATCCTGCTTGTCTTAACTTGGGAGTTCTTCCCTCAACAGTAAGAGCCCCCTGGTCCCTTCTATAATACCATTCCCAAGGGAAGTAAGTTGTAAAAGGGGAAAATCATTGAAAATGAAAAGAAAATGAGAGTATCCTCAGCTTAATAAAACTCTTGCCACTGTTCAGCACTTATAATTTAATCTTTGTTGTCTCAGACATTCCCTCATGTCGAGTGGCTTATCTAATGTCCTTAGAATCCCTTTTCCATTTTATCCTTTCTCTGTATTGAATTTTCCTGCTAGGTTGAGGTGGAGGAAGTGGGAACAAAGAGAGTGCCATATAATATTGTCTAGTATTGAGGTGAGAAGGACCCATGATGAGAGTGGTATCTACTAGAAGTCTGGGTGGGATTTTTATTTGTGTGTATGTGTTGGTGTTTTATTTTGTGTGTGTGTGTGTGTGTGTGTGTGTATTAATTGCTATGTATATAAACCAAGGTTAGCTGAGAATGTGTTGATTCAGAAAATAGTTTATAGTGCTTTAGCTATTTACCTACTGCATAAAACTTTAGATCTCAAAGTACATAAAAGCACTTCATAGACCGTAGGCTTTGTATGTCTAAGTATTTCACAATCAAGAGGCTCTTTTAATGATCATTTTTCAAAAGTACAATCCCTTAGAAAACCTATTATACCTTATTTTGTAAACTCATCATTAAGAATGTCTAGTTTTAATAGATATTCATATATGATTACTGTTCATATTGTTTATTACTGAAGAAGTAATGCCTGTTTGCATATTATTTATCTAGATTTTCTCTTTTAGCTGAATTTGTTGTATACATATCTGTGTTTAGGAGGTTGGCATGGTGTGTGATGAATATATGGACAAATGTATAATTCGTTGAATGTTAGAGAGGAGAGGAGTCTTAAAAACTTTACCTCTCTTGTTTGTGCACCTAAAACAGAAAGAAATTCATCCTTAACCAACTGTTGACATTTGGCTCTTAACGATTGCTGCTTTAACATAGCTGTTGGTAGGGAATGTATACTCTTCCTAGGCATCCTATTCTATTTCTGAATAGCTCCAACTATTCTACCCTGAACCTCTCTCATTCTGTTAACCATTTATCATAATTTTGTTTCTCTGAGGAGCTAGTTTCTCTCCTATAAAAACACTTTAGTGGTTTGAAGACAGAGTGACCAAGGGTCTCATAATGTCTTATACTAACCACACCCAGTTTTTGTTGAATTGTTTGTCATGTTACAGGATTTCCCTATCCTGATCACCTAATGGACATGTTTTAATTCCTTGGCTTTCAAATGTTTTTGACTGAAACCCCAATAAACAATACATTTTACATCCTGATTCGATATACCCATACACATACATACATGTAGTACATATTTTTAATATATATGTAACTGAAACAAAAATTTCATAAGATAACACATTTTCACTTTGATATTTTCTGCTCTTTTTCTTTTAAAACATGCTGATGTTACCTATTAGATTTTATCACTCTCATGGATTTCAGCTTTTGGCTTGAAAAACACTATTCTGGTTTGTTCATACTGCAGAACTGAAATAAACAGTTTTCAAAAGCTGGATGTTAGGATAATGGTTGCTAAAATAGGTTTTACCTTTATCACCTCGAAGAGAATATTCTGATGGTGATTATTAAGTAAAACTTACCAGGATTATCAGGTTCATGGTAATGAATGCAGTGTAACTAAAATATATGCAATTTTAATTTTTATCCTTAGGTGGCGACAGACAAGGTTGCAGAAAAGCTGAGTTCTACTCTCTCATGGGTGAAGAACACAGTATCACATACAGTCAGTCAGATGGCCAGTCAGGTGGCAAGTCCATCTGCTTCATTACACACTACATCCTCATCTACCACACTATCAACACCAGCCCTGTCACCATCTTCCCCATCACAGTTGAGTCCAGACGACTTAGAACTCCTGGCTAAACTGGAGGAACAAAATAGGTGAGTGAGGTTGCTTGGCTTTTCTTGCTTCATTTATTGTGCAAACCCAGACACACGCACACATATATACACACACACACACACACACACAGAGTATATATGTACCATAGGCAAAATTTTAAAATGTACTCATATTAAGAACTTTTTTTTTTTGAGGTGAGAATCTTTTTTAAGATTCCATTAGATTTTCTATATAGATGAGTATTAGTTTTTAGCTCCTTGTTTATCAAAATTACTTAACAGAAGTATTTAAGTCTTTTTTGGGGGGGGGGTTGGTCTTAAAACAGTAAAATTTCCTTCTGGCTCAGATGGCTTTAGAGATTTTTTTTTAAAATGTAGCCAATTCCATATAGTCTTTTTGGGGGGGTGTTGGTCTTAAAACAGTAAAATTTCCTTCTGGCTCAGATGGCTTTAGAGATTTTTTTTTAAAATGTAGCCAATTCCATAGATTCTTCTGATTTTTATCAAGTTTTTAAGGCAAATAAAACTATTGTTTTTATTTTAAACTCTCTAAATAGTCCCCTTTAGTTAAAGTTTAAAATAATTTAATTCAATATGGATATCTGATTTGTGACTTAGAGTGGGAAATATTTTCATGAATTTATCCGTGGAAGACAAAATATCTTTTTTTCATTATGGGTATGAAATAGAATAGTTGTTTACTCTGCTAGGAATGTGTACTCTGGACCCTTTGTATCTCTTCACTGTGTTATTGTTAGAAACTCTTTAAAGGCATCATCTACAAAAGAATATAGGGAACAGCACCCTTTTGTGCTTAAAGTATGTAATACCACTGGCTTTAAGGGTAATAGCAAAGATCATTTTAAATAGTTTTTTTGGTGTATAATTGATATAATAAACTATGCATACTTAAAAGGTGCAGTCTGATAAGTTTCAACATATGTGTACACCTGTGTAATTGTCACCAAAACCAAGAAAATGAACATCTCTATTGTCCCTCTCCCATCCCCAGGCAGCCACTGTAGATTTGCTTGCATTTTGTAGAATTTTATAGAAATGGAATCATACAGTATGTACCTTTTTTGTATGGATTATTTCACTCAGCAACATTATTTTGATAGTTGTCATGTTATGTCACATATTTATAGTTTATTCCTTTTTATTACTTAGTAATAAGAAGTATTATGTACAATAGCTATATCACAGTTTATCCACTTACCTTTTGCTATAAAATACTGTAAACGTTTGTGTATAAGCTTTTGCAAAATTCCTAGGAATGGAATGGCTGGATAATATGGTAGGGGTATGTTTAACTGGCAAACTGTTTTCCAAAGGGCCTGTACTTTTTCACATTCCCACCAGCTGTGCATAAAATTTCCAGTTCTTCTATATCCTCACCAATACTTAGTATGATGAGTCTTTTTAATTTTAGCCATTCTAATAGGTATTGGTATTTTGTGGTTTTATTTGCATTTCCTTAGTGGCATTGAGCATCATCTTATGTTTTTACTTGCCATCTATATATCATCTTTGATTTTAAAAAGTTAGGTTGTTTGCTTTCTTATTATTATGTTTTGAGAGTTCTTTACATATTTGGGATACAAGTTTTTTTATCAGATACACAATTTACAAATATTGTTTCCTAGTCAGTGGCTTGTCATTCTCTTAAAAGTGTCTTTTGAAGAGCAGAAATTTAAAATTTTGAAGTTCCAATTTCAGATTCTTTTATGGATTATGGCTTTGGTGACTCAAGATTACACAGATTCTCTCCTATGTTTTCTTCTAGAAGTTTTATAGTTTTAAGTTTTACATTTAGCTCTGTGACCCATTTTGAGTTAATTTTGTATATGGCGCAAGTTGTAGATCAAAGGTCATTTTCTTTTCTCTTTTTTTTTTTTTTTTTTTCCTTTTTTGTCTTTTTTACTGACCGGTAACGGGATCGCAACCCTTGGCGTTGCGGCCGCACCTCGCTCAGCCAGTGAGCGGGAACCAGTCTCCACATGGGATCCGAACCCTCGGTGGGAGCGCCACCGCGCTCCCAAGCGGTGCACTCTCCAGTACGCCACCGGGCCGGCCCACAAAGGTCATTTTCTGAATATGCACATCTAATGTTCCTACCATTTGTTGAAATGACTACCCTTTCTCCACTTAATTTTTTTTGCACTTCTGTCAAACATCAGTTGTCCATGTATGTGTGAATCTATTTGTGGGCTGTATTCTGTTCTGTTGATCTATTTGTTTATCTTTTTTTTTTATAAAAAGATGACCGGTAAGGGGATCTCAACCCTTGGCTTGGTGTTGTCACCACCACGCTCAGCTAGTGAGCCAACCGGCCATCCCTATATAGGATCCGAACCCGTGGTCGCGAGATGATAGTTTGGTTTTCTCTCATTAGCATGCTATATATCCCTTTTATAAAAATATTGGACATTGGGGCCGACCCCATGGTGCGCTCGGGAGAGTGCAGCACTGGGAGCGGCGCTCCTGCTGCGGGGTCTGATCCTATATAGGGATGGTTGGTTGGCTCACTAGCTGAGCGTGGTGGTGACAACACCAAGCCAAGGGTTGAGATCCCCTTACCGGTCATCTTTTTATAAAAAAAAAAAGATAAACA